GACCATGGGAACTGCAGTAATCCCCTGAGCCGACGATTGCTGGACGAACAGTCGGATGTATGTACAAACTCAACATCAAACACGCGACGCCCACACATCAAACAACCGACGACACAGAAATTTGACAAAAATCTGGTACTCCACGACCGGGACATCAAACACTACCTGGGTCAAAATCATCATCAATGACCTGGACCTTGGAATGTTGAACAATTTCCATATTTTAGTAATATAACATCACCTGTATCCGGTGAAAAAGACATCGATAACTGTGAATCAATACCGCACATGCAGCATACGGGAAGCTATTCAAAGGTATTCGGCAATCCTGGGCTGCACAAACTACCAAGCTCATGGTCTACCGAGCTGCTGTTGTAATCTCGACTCTCCTATACCCCTGAAGACCTGGGTTCCCTACCGGAGAGACAACAATAAAACTTAAAAAATTCTTGCGGAACATGTGGCAGACTGGATGTGAACAACGAACTGCTCCTCCGCGTAAAATGTAGAACCTAGAAAGCATCATGATATACACTGATTCCGATAGGCAAAGAAACCTACCCAAACAAATCCTCTTCTGGAGCTCGCATCTTGCAAGAGACCACGTGGAGGTTTATAATGAATGGATCAATTTTATGTCTTCTTACTTCATCATTAATATAGACACAAAATAAAATATTTTATCAAAAACAGAGCCAAAAGGTCGAATTAATAAAATATGCGTCAGTCAATCAATATAACACTTACTGTACAAAAGGTGCAGTTAAAGACATATTTTAAAAATAAAGATCAAAGAACTTCCTGACTTTAAAAATTCGCATAGTTGAAGCCTATAATGATGGAGAAGGCTACAAAGGCTGGCAAAATGATTTGGAGTACTGTCTCTACTGTGCAACAAATTATTTATAAATGGGAAGGTCTTTGTGACGGCATCACAAACAAGTGACAGTCCACAAAGTAGAATCTGGTTTGGCAAGCTCAGGAGAAACCTGCTGTGACCTCTATTGTTCTCAATGCTCCCCTGGCCAATGTCGGATTCAATGTCCATATATATGTAAAATCTGAAAAAATCTGAAAAATCACTGCTTACGAAAAGTACGACAAGCTTGGCTCAACTATGCCAAAGCTCATATTAATAAGCTAGAATCGTTCACATAAAGGTTTATGATCAGGGGTGAGACCAAACTAGAAACTTTTGGTGAGGGAATGATGATGGGTATGTCCTGGCAAGCTCCTAGTATGGTTTGGAAGAAGAATATGTTGCAACAGTTAAACATAGTAGCAGTAGCATTATGGTGTAGGGTTGTTTTGCTGATGGGGAACAGGCAAAATGGTATGTATTAACAGAACAATGGGACATAAAAGATACCAAGCAATTTTAGATGAAGTGTCTTGCCTCAGTTCCAAAAAGTTGAGTTTAGGTTGGTGCTGGATCTTCCAACAGCAAAAGCAAATCTCGAAGAATAACTTCCAGAATAAAAAATGTCAAAGTCTTGGAATAGGCCTAGTAAAATTCTGATCTAAATCCAACTGAAAATTTGTGGTTCAGAGTTAAAGTACCCAATTACATGCAAGAATGTTACCTGGGTAATATCGAGGAATTGTTAAGGAGTTTGCCAAAAAAATGGTCCAAAAATTGAGACTCACTACTGCTAGAAACTTAAAAATATATAAAAAAGAAAGGTTGACATCAAGAAACATGAAAGAAGGTCACCAAATTTAATGGTTCCTTACGTTTGAACATCTCAATTTTAATTTTTAATTAATATTTTTATCCCAGCTTGATAAAAATCCTTTGAAAGTGGCTGTAATTTGTTTTAATAAAAGTATTTTCTTAATTAATATATAATTTAATTAAGAATAAAAAAATTAGTAAAAACATTGAAGAAATATTGGTTATCATAGATTGTAAAAGATTTATAGGAAAATCAAAAAAAAATATGACACAAGGAACTAACAAAATGTATTAACTCTTAGAGAATTTGTAAAAAAAATGTACCCCAAAAATTAATAAAAATACTAATAGACCAATTAATTGTGAAAGATGGTACAAACTACCCCTTTGGGCAGTAAATAGTACTGAAATACCACCATACAGTTCAATGGTCCTCAGCATCAAACATAAAAACTCTGCATTCATTCAAGTCCAAGTTATATATATATATATATATATATATATATATATATTCATACCGTTTCATTAAATAATATAAACAGAGTGTTGTCTATTTATTTTAAACGCAAACTCTTTCATAACGTCTAATAAGTTTAATAACATTATAATTAAACAAATTAAACAAATTGGATTACAAGAAAAAACTTGACCACATATTCCATGATCGCATAAAGTTTAAAAACAGGGATACGATGACCAACTAAAATAAGCAATAAACTTATTATTACTAATGTGCTGAATACTTTAAAAACTCCCTAAAATTGTTGGTGATTATAGACCTGGCTACATATGCAACTTATAAAAACGCACATAAATACAACTATCCTACTCCAGATTTCTATCATGTCATAAAATTCCAGCCATATCCTCTAGCAAATTATATTAACCAACTTATTACTCCCTACCTAGTAAATATAGTGTTAAGTCAACATTAGAAGTAACAAAATCCTAAAAAAGTGAAAAAACCTGACAATGAAAATCATGGCTTCATGATGTTGAAAAACGTATTTGCAATGTCCTGTTGGTGAAACTATTGGACATAATTATAAAATATATACAGTAAATAATCTTTACCCCCATTAAAATTAATCCTAATATATTAAAAAAACTACTATTAATCCTGTACTACTGAAGTCCCTTTCTTCGATCATAATAACAATATATATATATAATGTGATGGTGTCTCCATGGTTCAGGTACTGGGTCCGACATTTAGCAATTTCTACATGTCGAACCTTGAAAATAAGATATTTACAGATTTTAAAAACCCATCAATCACCTAGTGATACATTATTGATATTCTTATATTAGTTAAAATACAGATTAAATACTTCAACTTCAAAACGTTTAAAATAATTCTGTCCTTAAATTCACATGAACTCAATACTAATAATAAAATCCCTTTCTTGACATATTAATAACACAAATAATAACCATTTACTATTTCATATAAAAAACCTACAAACATAAATTCATGTACACTTAACTACAAGAGTGAATGTATATTACTAAATATTATAAAGAATCTAATACATCGTGCAGAAACTAAACAATCCACAAAACATGTTTTTACAGTGAACAAAGATATAAACAGACACTTATTAATAATAGCTTTCAAACTATATGATTGATGAACAAATAAGATGCTTCTTAAATCTCAATACTAAAGCAAATTGGCACATAATACTGCTTCTACAGTCTCAAACATAATCTCCTATCGTAATCAAATGCATACTAATTATAAACAAGATGAAAATATACTAAAAATTTAGTAAATACTAATATCAACAGCAGATCATAAAAAAATTAAATTAATCATATACTACACTAAATCCTGAAGTATGTCCAAGCAATTCTTCGCAATGATTCCTTCCTCGCCGTTGAAGGACGGTGGTAAAAAAAAACAACATAGTTTATAATTCAGTGCTTTTGAGAGATTGTATCTCCAACGAATTAAACAATATTTATGTTGGTCACACACAATAAACTCACTTTCACGACGCTTTTTCACTACATTTTAATGAAAACTCCTAACATTTTTTAGGCATTTAAAACAACATGCCCGTTTGGCACTCGTATTCCGTAAATACTTGTCGAAACACTGGTATACTTCGACATGAAAACAATAGACAAAATTAAAAAATCCTTGAAGTTATTACCATCAAACATTTGAAACTGAACCTAAACAAATCAATTATGGCTCACAAATATTCTAAATGTCTATAATTGGTAACAGAATAAGGGTTTGGTTTATGCAGCAGCTTCCATACTATCATTCTTCACTTTCTCGTGTGGTCATATGTGACGTCATGAGATGCGGTGCGTTTTCATTCCCCAAGCGTCTTATATGCGCGTGTTTTATCGTTGCTTAGAATCATCTATAAACAATGACAGACTATCATCACTGTCTTGTCCGTATATTTAGCTTAATTTGTTGTAATTGATATCTTTTGATAATGGCTTATGTAAATAAAGTTTAGTTATTATTAAAAAAATATGGATCAATATTGTGAATTTCTTTTTTGTTCAACGATAATGTTTATTAAACTTATGAACGTTACAAAAATTTATATAAAATAAATGACAAATTGCCTATATTATTTAATGAAATGTATGAATGAAAAAAGATGCTGCCTAAATACACAATATATATATATATATATATATATATATATATATATATATATATATATATATATATTTTTACCAAATAAGGTAGTAAAAGTTACTGAGACAGAAATGGTTGCAGGTATGAAAAATAAAAATATATATATATATGTGTATATATTCAAATGTGTGCGTTGTCTATTATTCAATGATGCTTTCATCTGGAAATCATTACCAAAAGATATGACATAAGTGTAATGAATCAATGTCTAATATTTAGTTAGATCTAGCGATTTGTTCGAATACGATTTACGCTAAGATAACTTCTTGACTCGAAAATTACATGCTGAATATCCATATTTTTCATAGATAGATGTCTCTGCGGACGGCATTAAATAAAAGCTGCTATTAGCTCCCTCTACTGTCCTAAGATTAAATAAATACAGAAATTTATTTCGGCAAGTAAGGACAGAGACTTCGTTCAATATATATATATATATATATATATATATATATATATATATATATATATATTTGTGTGTTTTTTTTTACAAACCTATATAATGCCAGCTATCGAAAGAATCGAGAGCGTTTATGCCTAGAGACAATTGCAACGATGTCTTGTCCTTGAATCGAAGTGTTCTTATTCACATAAAACGTTAGAAATAATGGGACATTTTTTAATTTTTATAGTTTTTTCTTTTTCATTCTCATGAAGTTTTTATTTCATTTTCTATCAAATTGTTCATTTTTTCATTGCTAATCTCCGCTATTCTTTCTTTTTTCTTCCTGAAACCTTAGAGGTTCTTTCTTTCTTTCTTTTTCTTTCTTTATCATCTCTTCGAATCATCTCTTTCTTTCTTAAATCACTAGGGTTTTTCTTTCTTTCTTTCATTAGGGTCTTTGCTTCTTTTCTTTCTTTCTTTCTTTCGTAACATCATACGAGTTTCTTTCTTTTCTTTTTTCTTTCTTTCTACAGACATTAGGTTTCTTCCTTTTCATTCATTTTTTCTTTCTTTTTCTTTCTTTTCTTTCTTTCTTTCTTTCTTTCTTTCTTTCTTTCTTTCTTTCTTCGTAACGTTAATGTTTACTTTCTTGCTTTTTCTTTTTAATAAAATCATTCAGGTTTATTACATTTTCTTTCTTTTTTCAAAACATCATTCAGCTTTTCTTTCTTTGATGACATCATGCAAATTTCTTAGATTTATTTCTTTTTTTCACTTCTCAATTCCTTCTTCTTCCCTCCTTATCCTTATTTTCAGCTTCTTTCTGTATTCGTGTTCATTGCTCCCCGTCTTTTTCTCTTTCTTTTTTCTTTCTTTCTTTTCTTTCTTTCTTTGTTCTTTCATATTCCTCTTCCTTCTTCCTTCCTTCTATATTCCCTGTTGTTGTTTCCCAGTCTTTCTTTTCTTTCTTTCTTTTCTTTTCCTTTTCTTTCTTTCTTTCTTTTGTCTCCTTGTCTTTCTATCTTTTCTTTCTTTTCTTCTTTAATCTTTCCTTCTTTTTTTCACTTTTGCAATCTTATTTTCTTTCTTTCTTTCTTTTCTTTCTTTCTATATTAACTTTCTTTCTCCTTCTTCTTCCTTCCTTTTCCTTTCACTACTATCCCTTATTCTCCTTCTTTCTATATTCCTCTTTCTTTCTCCCTTCCTTCCTTCCTTCCTTCCTCCCTTCCTTCCTTTATCCTTTATTTCTCCTTCTTTTCTATATTCCTGTTCATTGCTTCCCTGCCCTTTTCTCTCTTTTTGTTTGTTTGTTTTTCTTTCTTTCTTTTCTTCCACTTTTCTTTCTTTCTTTCTTCTTTCTTTTCTTTCTTTCTTTCTTTTCTTTCTTTTCTAACACCATTCTGTTCTTTCTTTTTTCTTTCTTTCTTTTCAATATCATCTTTCATTTTCTTTTTTAACATCATTAGCCCCTTTTTCCTTTTTTTCCTTTTATTCTTTCTGTCATTCATTCAGTTCATTTTTAGTTGATTCTTTTTCACAGATTTCATTCCTGATTTTTTTCATTCATTTAAAATTTTCTTCTTTTTTTTTCTCTATAATTTTCGAGTCTTTATGAGAATCTTTCACATATTTCTTTCCCAACTAAATTCGTCCTAAAAATGGCAATTTGGCTTCAGCTTCTACTCATAAAAGTCTTGTTTATGGTGTCGATAAAGAATTCTTGGGCAGCAAAACAGAGAGTAATAACAGGGAGAGTTTTTAAAAAACGGACCAAAAAATACAGACACTAGCTTTCTTGAAGGCATACAAGCTGCACGCACCCACCACCAGCAGAAACTTGGGACACCAAAATTCACATTTTGCACCTGATTCCAAACTCAAAGCAATGTGGCTTCAAAATATTAAATTCTGAATTTCAAAATATATATTCACAATTAAAGACATTAAAAACTGAGAAAATGTTTTCAAAAGTAAATATTAAATTAGTCAAATGATTATCCGAGTATCAGTGTATGACGTTAAAACTTCATACGCGTCATGCGTTATGACGATAATAATCTACATACACGTCCTGGGTGACAATCTATGTCCGCGTCCTGGGTATGACAATAAACCATACGCGCATCCTGGGCCAGACGATGAACTACGTCCAACAGCAATGCCTCTGATAATACGTTTTTGAAAAAAAAAATGTTGCCAACTATACGTTTTTGAAAAAAACCATATGTTTTACCAATTTCTGTTTTGGCTTGCATGCTGACGAGTGAGACTGGGCCGTTTCTGAGGGTTGTCCCATTTTCAGTATGTTTTATATATTGCCAGCAGCATAGTGCTGATTATAAATTGTCGAATTTATTATATATACATATATATGGAGTTTCCTAGAATTTTCGTGGGCTGACTATAAAAGAGTGATTACAGCTGTGTAATTTTGCATGCGTTAATTTTCAACTTTTCTTTCAGGTTAACTGACATCTATCTGTTCAAGAAAAATTTGTTCATCCTGTTGGTCAAAAATGTCATCAACAATAAAAATGACGATATATGATACTGGTGATCCCAGACAAGTGTTTTTATCATGTTGGGTAATTTATAAGCTTCATTTTGTTTGATAAGACTGGAGTAACCGCGAGGGTGGCGTGGCTTTGTCACTCATTTTCAATATTGTCGATAAGTCGTAACAATTTCTCATTCGTTTGACTTCGAACCATCAACAGTTATGTGCTCGCCGAATGCATACTTCCTATTTAAAATGCAAAACATTCCCAACTGCAATCTACAAATCATGTAAAATCATATTAACCAAGTATGACCATCACTTTGACAAAGATTGAGCCATGGTTTTGGTTCTCGTGAACAATGGCTCTTGGGAAACGGCTCCAGTAACTGTAAAAATTGCTCAAAATCTAGACGCAGTAAAGCTAATTTCTTAATATGTCAACGTCAACGGACGTTTTCGGTCTAATAAATAATAATATTGTATTGATAATGTTATAATTTATGAATATGTCCTGAAGGTGGTTTATTAGACCAAACGTCCGACGTTGACATATTAATCTTAATACAACATAATTGTATATAAGGATTTTTTGTTGTTTTTTTCGTATATATTTTCTTATATATATATATATATATATATATATATATATATATATATATATATATATATTATATATTCCTATTAGGTCGTAGGCATTGGTTCTACTAGTTCTATCCTCCTGAAATTTATGTATATAAATAAATATATATATATATATATTGACATAATATTATCAATCTTTCTCTCTCTCTTTATATATATATATATATATATATATATATATATATATATATATATATATATATATTATTGTGTGTGTGTATATTAAAATATTACTTAATTTTAAATATCAATTTTATCCCGACATCGATGTTTCTTAGTAAAATTCCCGTCTTCAGTAGTTGTGGGTTTTCATGTGACTAGTGTGACGGAGCAGTTTGCAGGGGTTATCTAACAAACCCATATGCACTGTATATTTCCAGCGTAGTACTGGACTTTTTTACCAAGAAACATCTATATCAGAATTAAATTGATGTTTAAAAATGAAAATAATCTTACAAATAATAATATTACGCTCTATTTTAAATATTATTTTAATATCTTTAGTGTGAGCCAAATTTATAAAAAATATCTACTGTTTTCTTATATATATATATATATATATCATTTTTTTCATTCATGTCTCTTCTCCTATTTCACTGGCTGGCTGGCAGGAGTCTATATACATATATATATATATATATATATATATATATTCATGAATTATTCACACAAAAAATGCAAGAGTTAATACAATTTAATTGGCGAAATCGATCGTCGCAAACAATTCAAATAATATATTTCCCCCTTTTCCGTTATGAATGAAAAAAGATCCTTTTTTCTATAAAAATTTTTGCCGTATTAGTTCTTATTTTTATAAACTTTTTGTCTGTTTCTGAATCTTCAGGTACAAAAATAGATGGTTCTTTTTTTTTTCTTGAATGAGGACAAAAAAAATATATGTATTGTTGTTTCCCAAAAAGCCATTGGGAAAAAGGGTTTTTGTTTTTGGGGCGCGCAGTAGCAAGGAGTTTGATTTTAAAATTTTTTTAAAAATTTTGCGTTTTTTATACAAATATGGTGATAAACAATTTTAAATTTGGGAAATTTTTTTTTGTCAAAAAGGGGGGAACTATATTGTTCAATAAATTTGCAAATTATTATCCAAAAAAATCGACTTTTGAATTTAATTTTAAAATTTTAAAAAAAGTGCAGTCAATTTACAAATTCCTGAATTATTCAAAAAACAAATGCAAAAAGGGTTTAAAGATTTTTGGCGAGAAACCATCGTCGAAAAATTCAAAAAATATACAAAAAACCCCCGTATCCCAAAGAATGAAAAAGATCCTTTTTTCTAAATTTTGGGGAATAGTTCTTATTTTTTTCTACAAGCTTTCGTCTGTTCCCCAGACCCTCTTCCAAAATCAATTTAATGAACATTCGCGCCAAAACCCTTTGGGGAAAAAAAGGAAAATGATTTTTTATTTCCCCATTCTAGGAGAAAGACAAATTTTAAAAATTGAAAAAGGGACGGCGTTTGAGGCACTTGTGGAACTTAAACCCGTAATTTAGTGGTTTGTGGTTGGGGCCCTTAAATGCCTCTTTTAAAAATTAAAATTTTATTTCTGTAGTCGGGTGTTCCACCTAAAAAACGATTTTTCTTTACATCCAATATATGTTTTAAATATGGGGATATATGTTTTAATGAAAAAAGTGGAAAAAATATTAAATATATATATATATATATATATAAAATTTGTGTGTGTGTGGGGGGGGGGGGGGACAAAACATCCCCATTACAAATATTTTTGTTTTATAATATTTGACAAAAAAAATTTATTGTCAACTGGTTTTGGGCCTCTTTGTTTTTTGGGAATTTAAAATTTTAATTTATTTTTTTTTATTAATTTATATATATATATATATATATAATATATATAAGAGGATTCACATTTTTAAAAGGGTATTAATTCAAGTAAATAATGATTACGGGGGGAACCCTCCTCGTTTTCCTTCAATCCAGCTTTATACATTAGTCCCGTTTTTTATTTCCGTATTAAATAAAAAGACTATTCTTAGTTTAAAATTAATTGGTTTTGGGGGGTTGAATTAAAACCTTGGGGGGGTTTTATTTTAAATTTCTCTCTGTTTTCCTTAAAAAGGGGGGGACCTTAAAGTTAAAAATTTTTTTAAACCAAATTTTTTGGGCTTTTTGGGTATCTCTTTTTAAGGAATTAGGGAAATTAATTTTATTAATTATTTAAAATTATTATTTGAATAATATTTATTTTGGGGTGTGTTTTATATTATTATAAAAAGGATTTATATATATATATATATTATTATTATTATATTTTTCGATTTGTTTCCAAAAAGAAAATTATTAAATAATTTTTTTTAAATAATAAATTGCCTTACTTATAGCCCAAAAAAGAATTTTTTTTGAATTTTTATAAAATTATATATTATATATATATTTTATTTTTTAAATAATAATAAATTAATAATAAAAAAAATAAATTTTTTTTTTGGGTTTTTTAAAATAAAAAAAAAATTTTTTTAAAAATTTTTTTTAAAGGGGTAAAAAATAATTACAGTTTGAAACGAATTTTTTTGTTTAAAAATTTATAAATAAAATAAAATAATAATTTTTAAAATTAAAAAAAAAAATTTTAAAGTAAAATCCGAATAATTTTTAAAAAAAAAAATACAAAAAAAAGGGTTGATTTTTTTTTTCTAAATTTTTATAAATAAAAAAAAATTAAATTTCCCAATTTTTATTTCTTAGGCATAAGTTTTTAAAGGGGAATTTTGAAAAAAATTTTTGTTTTTTTCAAAATATTAATTAATAAATTTTTATTTTTTTTTTTTTAAAAAATATTTTGAGATGCTTTATTAGATTTTTTTTTCGGGGGTGTTTTTTAAATTTTAAACCCCTTTTCCCCCAAAGGTTTTTTCCTTTTGTTTTTTTTACGCAAAAACAAATTTTAATTTTTATTTTTCTGTTTTAATTTAAACAAAAAATAATTGGAGGGGGTTTTTCATGTTTATTTTTTTTACCCCCCCCAAAAATAATCACCATTTTGCCATATCTATTTCATTATTCTTCAATCATCATCATCTTTTAAATTTTATCCATCTGTTTATCACCCCCATTTCTATTTTCATTTCTTCTTCTTCTTCATCTTCTATCTCATTCTTTCATCTATCTACTTCTTTCATCTCCCCCAAATTCTGTTATATTTCTTTTTTCTTCATTTTCTTCAATTTCCCCATTCTTTCATTATCTATCTATCTACCATTATCTATTCATTTCATACTATCTATCTATCTATCTATTTCTTCATTTCATCTATCTATAAAAGGAAAAGGGAGATG